TTGCCGATGATATAAAATTTGACTACTAGTTCCGACTCGTTGACTTTACGAATATACTACTACTCAATTAGGAAGACATTTATTCGCTTGCGACATGGTGCGACAAGTGGATGATGAGGTTCTCAACACAAAAGTCAAGTATCATGTGTCACACTTGTTTGATACTCGAAGGATCTGTCACATTTAACAACGAATGGATTTGTGTGCAGCGGTCAATGCGCGACCTCGGAATCTAATGCTCCTGTACGCTCAAGTTTGAGAAGATTGAATACCAGAGAGTATGAGCCAGAGAATCCGTGGCCAATATATATCATAGGGTGCACCTAAATTCAGCTAGAGTCGAACTTTTTAACATCCTCACTCGTTGCATGCTGGCGTCTGGCAGCATAATCTGTAACAGCGTCGGGAACTCTGATAGAACAACTATAGAAATTATACATCAGTCATTTACTGAGTACGTATTAGGCAAAAATTTTTATCAATAACTATCGGGTGTGGTGCCAGCAGCTCCATCTCCATCCGCTTTGGTTATGAAGACTAAAGCCTAATTGATACTGCTGTACAATCTGATTCATGGCAATGCCTGTTGAAATCTACCCACGATTATATTGCAGCATAGTTCCACGCTTGAGCTTTGTAACAAGGACTTTACCTCGGTTATAGGACGATGCAAGACAAATTTGCGGTTTAACTTCTTCCTAACCATACATGCTGCTCTGTGGATTCGGCTCCTACTTACAATCAGGTCGTGTTGAACTGTGCGATCATTTCGCAGTAAACTAGCAATCTTCCTCGACCTGGACACCATTCTGTCATTTTGTTCTTGGGGAAGATCACTCGCTGCTGAGGCGATAACAGCTCTTTTGGCGATATCAATACGGCGTTCATCGACCTGTCATCACACACGGCCAGGCTGTTTTTCTGTTGCTAGCACAGCAACCCACTAACCACCTCACAAGGAACCCTTTTGTTGCTTTTTCACCTAGGTGAAGACCTACTACCGATCGATCGAAGCATGACAGTTTCGATGCGGCTGTGGTGTCTGGCAAACCATTTCTCACAGCTGAACGGCGTGCGTTCCCATGGTCTTGCCCTGCTATCCACGTATGACAGGTCGATTGCGGCTGTGGTGTTTGCTACCGTTCACCTCTCACAGCCGAACGGCTCAGTGTGCCCTGCGATCGTAGGCACACGTGTCGCGTCTCTGTGTCCCATCTCACCCCTGCCAGCAAAGCAATTTGCGCCATTGGACAGTTAGCAATTCAGCGTACCGGTTTGGTTAGCACCTGAGTGCAGCCGCTCCTAGCTCCGAACCAGATTAGTAAAACACCATGAAGGCCCAGATACCGTCCAACGCATGTAATACCACAACTTTACGCAATGTAATCAGTCCTCAGTGTTGGCAATATATTTAAACTACAAAAGTGACTCCTACCTTCGCATAGAACAAACAAACGAAACACATACTGTCGTAAACGCTCACTGCCTGGTTCCGCGTTCAACCCGACCGGGGAAGATCAGAAGAGACAAAGTGGCTAATCATAGAGGATCTATTAGAACCATTCATGGTTATCTCTATGACTCAAACACGCAACCACACTGACGTTTTGGCTGTAAACTTCCGCCCCCTTCTGTCTGCCGCTTTGGTGACCTGGCCAACACGTAGACTCAGTCGGGCTTGACGTCTCCGGCCCCTTGGTAGTTTGGCCCCCGAAAAGTTTTCTCACTTGTCGCTGCTCGGACATCTTAGCATGGCTCACACGACGCCTCCGCATCTGACTGGGGTTTCGGTCCGGCCACCAACGCTGGCGAAGCTTCCCTGAGTTAGCCAACTTGTTGGCAGGTCCAACAAGCCCTTGCCTTGCGCCGCCATAGTGCATCCGAGCCTTAAGCCGTTTTGCTTCTCCAACACACCATGGCAAAAAGACAGACAAATATGAAGACATGGTTTTATGTTGCCCAAACCTGCCCATTACCTGCACATATATGATCTGTGCCAAGTACTACGCAGCTCTTCACTCGCTTAGAAATATGCCTATTATTATCACTATTATTATAAAAGTATTGCGGCTCAGGTGCTTTGGATGACCCCCACCAGTTTGCATATCGCAACTCAAGGTCCACCTTAAACGCAGTATCATGTCTGGTACATACCGTGCTTTCGTCACTGGAGAAGGCCAACAAATCGATCTGCATCTAATACCGGGATATTAGCAACGCTTTCGGTTGTGTGATCCGGTGACTACTGTTATACTTTCTACCAGGTTTGGACTTCGAACTTCGCTTGCTCTTCTGTTGAAAAATTATTTTCAAGGCATGCCCAGTTTACCAGCTTTCTGGGGAAGTTTTCTTCTTCACCACGTATTCCGGTGTTCTTCATGAAGCTATTTTGTACCCATTCTTATTTTCCACTTGCGTTTCCTCAATCCTCTTCCATGAAGAAGTCATCTTCCTAGTGTATGCGGACGACTTAATCCTTGGCGTCCATCATCTAAACATAGTCGTCAGCCAGACTACAAGCACTCCTAGATAACTTTTCAGCTTGGTCCAACTCCAGTGCCTACCGTTGAACGCCCCAATATGCAAGGACGTTCTTTCTTCGCTGTTCAAAGCAAATCGCTACCAGCAAATACTAACGCAGTGCCCGCAACTCTCTGTCGATGGTGAGGATTTGACCTCCCTCACGTCAATGAAACATCTATTGCGGTTTACTGGCATTTCAAGACCGGGACTTGTTAACAAGCTTGCATTTAAAATACTCACTGGTGTTAACCACCTCCTCCATAAACACTGTCCGTATGCGTATCAACCTCCTCGACTAGACAGAGCTACAAAACGATACACGTCCGCACTAATAAATAAATAAATAACTAACGCGTATACTCCTCGGCGGTGAGAGGCACACTCCAACTGCTTGGTCTAGTCATTATGTACAACGGGATCGCATGGGACGGATAATTTTCTCGAGTTTTTCTTCAGAACAGTTCCTAAACTATTCTGCGGTGCTAATTGATCGGTTGCATCTTCCTAATAGATGGTGAGATTGCTAATAACAATAAACGCAGATAAATCTACTGTTCTAGTAAAGTAATACAGCCAACCGTGGAGTCATCTCCAGGGGACTTGCTTCCATGAACGCTAGTCTCTTGAACAATTTCACCCGCACTTCCATGTCTTTTCTGACTGTGTGCTGGTGTGGCTTTAAATTAGATTGACTAGCACCAATTGTACTCATCTTTAGGCCTCTTTTTAAGCGTATGTATGTGGACATTCAGACCATACAGCCCGTACCATCAATCGTTTTATTTTGAGTCGCTTTTTTATTACTCGTCAGGGAGTCCATGGAATTTTGCCTTGCATGGGTTCAGTTGTTAGTTTGGAAGCTTCAGTCCGTCACCTCACGAGACGGACCCAGTCGTGTCCAACAATGGAGTAAAGAAGAATATGGAATATGAGGGGGTAGAAAGGTAAGTACGGTAATAGTGCTACATAAGAAACGGTTGTTTTTAAATACCGCCAAGAAAGGCCGACGGATTTCTAGCTCAAATTGTTCTAGGGGACCACCGTAATAAGTGACTGCTCGGATTATCGAAATGCAAGGCAGTTTGGAAAGGAATCCTCAGGTTTATCCAACAGTTGCGTGCGTTCGCAAAATACAGTATTTGATATCGCGGAGCACTGAAAGTTGCTATCTGCTCCTGGGGTTTTGCTCTCGAGAGTATAACTATTTAATATTACAGGGAGAATGTAAAGAATGTAAACGAAAATTTAAAAAAATCAGTTTATGTCTGGACGGTGTGAGATACGGATTGTGGTTGATCTGGTCGAATTTTGTAAATGGATGGTTGAAGACAGTTTCTGTTCAAGTTGTCACAAAAAATGAGGTTCCGGATCGGTGCATCACTGGCTGCCGAGGTGTGTAAGGATTGACATTGACGGTTGTCATGAAGCGCTGTAGTTTTGTGCTGTTACCTCCGGACAGGAAAGTGAATTGGTTAGAAATACGGAAAACTGTTCGTTCATAAAGAAATAGATGGTATGATGGTCGCAGGCCAAAAAAACAATCGTCAACATTTGCTAGCTGGATCTAGACCCATTGGTTTCGTTTTGCATGGCTCAGTGTGGCATTTTTCTCTATCGTAATGTTTTCGTCCCAGCTGTTCACAAGCTACATAGCAAAGCCTAGTCCGGAAAAGCACCAGACGCGTTTCGTCCTCTTGGGGCTCGTCAGTGGTGCACATTCCCTCGGTCCCCTACTGGGGATCGAACTCATGATCGCTAGAGGCAGATGGCTACTAGCCAGCAGCTTAAGTCACTGAGCCATGGGGGACGTCGGCTGGGCTACACAATTTGCAAACTAGGCTGTACTATGTAGCTTATAAGCAGCTTTGTCGAAAACATTACGATTAAAATCCTCCTACTTAGTAGTACTTTTCTTGTATTGTTGCGCCGCGGGCCAGAATGGTTTCTTGTGGCCAACAGTTGGGGGCGTCATAATGCTAAATACGGGAGTTATAAGATGGTGGCGGTTGATACCGCATTTTAGATATCTACTAGACCCTCTTCATATGCCATCTCTTCCGTGACAACCTGTCAGCAGCCCAGTGCTTTTCAATAGTCCTTTGCTTCACGTTTTTTTGATCCATAAAAATTTAGTGATTCAAGAACAGGTTAAAAACTACTTTAATGTTATCTCTGTCAATAGTAGTAGTAGTAGTTGTTGTTGTTTTTGTTGTTGTTGTTGTAGCGGGAATCAGGTACATTGAGTGGTATGCATCCGTCAGTGTGGCCAGTACATCGCGTCAGCACCGAGCGCCTGTTTTCTCCTTAAAGGACTCGCTCATGATGCGTGCTACTTGCATATTTTTGTGGATTCTGAACTTTATGCGAACAAGTGCTGCTGATAACGCTGCTACAGCACATGTAGTTTACCAGCTCTTCATATTATTGTGCGACTACTAACAACAACCGACCATTTGAATTTCCCTCGCTGGTATACTATGGCTGATGATCAGCTGACCGGTGAGTTTAGTATACCCACATGTAGGAATTGTATAGCCTTTCGAAGTCTCCTGCATTCATAAAATCGGCTGGAAACAAATCTATTTGTCACAACTAAGCTGAATATTGTTCTCCTGTACTTTTACATGCTGTGCGAATTGAAGGTGCACAAACGAGGCTTTGATGGGAATAAGAAACTGGTTTTGTTTGATCACTATGGTCGCAAACTACTGTTATGAACAGGATAATTGTGTGGGGAAGTACGCCACCTATATTTCGGCGACGAACGATTGGTGCTGTATATGAAAATGTGTTAAATGGGGCATATCCCTCGCATACTTGATAACCGGCCACTTCAGCGTATGTTGGTTGTCGTCACCCGTAAACACGTGGAACCATGAATGGCTAACCACTTCCATGTTGATTGAGACCCCTAGACAATTATTAGAAGACCATCTCAGCTCGATGCGCGACATCTTCCTGTATGAAGTCTTCGGAGTAGGATGCATTAGAGGTTGGAAACTTTTAGGCATGAGCTGATCAAGGAATCATTTGAAACTGTACCAGCCCATTTTTTTCTAGCTTACGCTGCCTCCACTTGCATGTTTTCCCGATTTTGTGTTAGTCTGCTACTTTATATTTTTATTAACATTATTATTGCAACTGCGATGGAGATACGAGTCGGAGCAAGTGAATCCACCGCACTTTAGTGCATAGATTATGGTTGAACAGAGTAACTAAACTTTTATGATTTGTGCGTCGAGTCATCTGGGTCATGAAGGATGCGTTTGTTAACTAACGCACAATGCTGATGAATCTCTGTGATGGGAAGGCTCGCCCGTGCAACTCTTCACTGCTCTGTTAAAAAGGGAGCCCACCTACTTGCCAGCTGCTAGCTCTCCAGAACGATGTACATCCGTTTTTAGAGGATCAGTTGGTGTGCGTGTGTTACGTCCTACAGGCGCTAACGTCCCGCTGTGCGATAACGCAAGCGAGGAAGGCCAATAGAAAATGTAATGTAGGAAGAAAGTGACGGAAACTGCCAGCGACTCGCGGGGTTTCAACTTCGTGCGCCTGAATCCACAGACGCATGTGCACAGGATCGTGTCAACTTTCCGCAGTCTGATTGACAAACTCCTCGACATAAATGAACAGGGGTAGAGGATGAAGGAAATCACCTGTCTTGGAAAGAGAGACAAGGTGAAGTCCCGGCCTCTCCGAATCACGTTCGTTGATAAAGCGAGTTAGAGACTGATACTATTCCGCCTCCGCAGGCCTTCGCGGTCTGAAGATCCATGTTCACCCAGATGTGGATCGGTCAGACTTGGAGAAACTCAAGTCCGCTATCGTTGAGTTAAAGTGGTGTACTGTGAGTGTGGAAACTGATCTCTTCATTGTACATTTTCGGGTAGTTTTCCGGGTTCGTCCAACCCGAATCAACAGACCGACGACGCTTTATGCGTGGCTGGCGGTGCCTACCGTGGCCTGAGCGTGGCATTTGCTAATGTTAATAGTTTAATGACCAAACGTGAGGGTTTGTGCCACTTCATTGCCTCTCGTCGACTTTGACTTGGTTGCATTCTGGGATTACTGCTCAGGGGCTACTTGTGCTTCCGGTGGGACAGAATTTCAAACGACCGCGGTAGTGCGTGGTTTCGTTGTACCAGAGACTGATATACACCTACTAAAGTGAAGAGGGCCCGTGCGAGCAATTATGATGCTCTATCCACCTGAGACGTGGGGTGTTGTTCGTTAGTGTAGCCTATCGCATTCCACGAAGTTGCTGTTTGGATTGGTTGCCTCATCTCCTAAATTACATGTTGTCCCTGCTTCCTTCTCATGGGTGATCTTAACTTCCATCGTAGTGAAGACAGAGTTTGCTGAGATGATATTTGAGACTTGGGCAGTACAATACACCTGTCAGCATTACACCGCACTTAAATCCGTCATGGCTGGACCTGATATTGACTATCTGCGAACAGCATTTACGCGACGTTCTGGCCCTGGAGCCTCTAGCAACAAGTGAGCACTCGATGGTCATGATCAGCCTTTAGCTTTCGCTTCCATCCTCGTGTCCGCTGGAGCCATCCTAAAACTACCGGAAGACCGACTTTGATAGTTTAACTCGAGCTGCTAATCAAGCGGACTGGTCGCTGCAGCAAGATTTATGACACTAATGATTCATCTGTTGAAGCCTTCTGGCCTGTTCAAAAGTGGGTGTAAAATTACTGTACTCTCGATTCGTACCCATCAAGTATCGGCAAGCTGGGCCAGTGAAGGCACATTAATTCGACAATGAGTTGGCTAGACGATGACGCTTATTGTGGAATAAATCCCTCCAGTCTGATTCTGCCGACGAGTACGAGGTGTACATAAAGCAGCGAAACTTAAGCAGCAGCGCGAAAGCATAGAAATATCGATAGTTCGAAGAGGAACTTGCAACCACCACGAAGCCGGTCCTTAAAAGAACTTTACTTCCGTGAAGTGGTGCGTGAGATCTACAGATGAGGTAGAAGTGTTAGATGGCTCTGACAGATAGTCTCTAACTTCTGCACTGCGTTGGCAACGCATTTCGCTTCTGTATTTGCAAGTGGGCATGCGTTTATACCAAGTTCAACGTGCGCGGCCCTCAATGAACTTGAGCGCCTGGATTGCGATATGATGTTCACAATCTACTTACAAGTATTGACGGCACTAAACCTGCCGGTCCCGATAGGCTCCACCGGCTGATTCCCAAGTCGTTATTGACCATCATATCATCCTCCCTGTCTGACCTGTCCAACCGATCACTGTCCTAAGGTCCATTGCCAAGCGACTGGAAATGCCCTGTAATGAAGCCGATTTCGAAAGGCGGCCTATTTTCTCACTTCCATTTTGGCCAAAGTACTCGAGATCGTTAAAAATGGTCTACTGCAGGTGCTACAGTCGAAAGACCTGACGTCGACCCAACATTGTTTCAAGAACGGCTGCTCAGGCATCACCATCCTGCTGGTGACGAGATATGAAGGGTTTCAAGCGCTGAACGGTGGAAGTCTGTCGACATGGTCTACACTGATTTCAGTAAAGCGTTCGACAAGGTGAACCATGAGGTTCTCCTTAACACGCTGAGGATGTGCCGTGTCGGTAACTCACTGCACACTAGGGAATCAGCGACTTTCTTATTGGAAGGAAATGGAAGGTACAAGTGCATGACCATCTAACGGACTGGTATCCCTGCACCACTGGGGTACTCCAAGACACTCCGCATCACCGAAGTACCTCAGCTTTTTCGCTGGCATTTTACCTTGTTTACAGGCACCCCAGAGATTTAGAGTAATTAATGAGGACGACTGTGACGTGCTTCAGCATGATCTCGACCATCTATCCATGTGGTATGCAGATGTCGATCTGTCGGTCAACTCAGTCAAGTCGTTTTCTATGAGCCTGAGGCAGAGTGGCCGGCCAACCGCTACATCCCACATTTTCCGTGTAGGATCTCGGCGTATTCTCACGTTGCCATTTGGAGTCCGTAGATATGACGAACGAGCTATATCCTAACGTATTGCGCATGCTTAGAGCGCTCAAACGCACTTTCCGCAATTAATTTGGAGAGATTGCCACGCCTTTTCTCTTCCATCATAAGACCGATACTCAACTACGGCTCACCCGCCTATTGTCCGGTCAACCATGATGAGGTGAAGCGAATAGAAAGGGTTTATCATGTCGTTAACATGCTCATTCCCAGTGTATGGGATAGGTCGTAGGAAGACCGATACAGGAGACTGAGACTGTGCACCGGGTCAAATCGTCGGTTTCGAGTGGACATCATAATGACGTACTTCATATTACACCGGTTGACATCCCTATATTGAGGCCGCTCCTGCATACATTCACTTGCGGGTACCGGTACAGGTCTGTGGTACTGGACCTGAACGGACAACTCCCTCTCTATGCTTCGGTCGTCGAATGGTGAAATACGGGAATAGTTTGCCTGAAACAATGGTCGTGGTGAGATCGGTGTTTGCATTCAAGAAATTCCTAGACACCAACTTTGCGGAGTACATGTTTCGTGAATGCATTGCGTCCCACAGCCAAACTGCGTTGATTGTACGCGGTAACGAATGATATTACTCTGCGTTCGTGCCCGATAAAGCAACACAGTTGCATGTCTTCTCGCTCTCTGCCTTCAGTATTCAGTATTCAGCACAGGCTACTTTGCAACACCATCAGTTAATTAACGTCTTAGTGATTGAAGATGTTGTTTGATTTCATCACAGTCATTCTGCACACGACTGTGTTGTTCAAAACTTTGGAGAATTAGCAGCACCATGTCATGCCCAAGTGCCCGACCTCCTTGACTTCCTGAATCCCATGACCTGCTTCCAATAGTTTGTATTGGAACGTCCAAACTACTAAGGAGTCTAGAAACTCTGACCTAGCTTTCTAGATCTTCTGCAGGCTTTAAATCATTGTCCGTGTCAGGTTACGGTAGAATGCACACATGAATTCCCACATAGAAAACAACGACATTCGTGTTTGATTCCTCTTTTGTTTACAACTTTAGCTTGATTGCTTTCAGATCATCGTTTCATTCCTGTCCACATGTGAATCTGTATCATAGCTCAAGGGTCACTGCGGCTCGTTCCTCTGCACGCAGAATTGATTTATCTGATCAGCTTCCATTACTGACACTTGTAAAGATGGGCCGCGGAACGAGGGCTTGTCATGCGTAATCATTGCGGGTGTGAGGATGTGTGAACCTTAGACTGGGCTGATAGTAGTTGAATATGACAGCTGTTATCTAAATGTGCAATGAACCGTAGTTCGGTTTAAAAATTCTATTTAGTGGAAAAGGTTATCTTGGGAGATCTTTATCATCAAGGGGACACAGGTAGGTAACAAACTGACTCCATGACTCCGATCAAATAGTTGAATTGTCACAGATCACGTATCAACACCTATCTATCCTAATTTAGTTCGGCGTTCTAAATTGGCATACTCGATTCTTCATGCTAAAGTATCAAATTCAACTATTTGCAGAGAACTGGTTCACAAAATATTGGCTACCAAGCGTTGCAGTTGTCATAGAATAATTGCACTTGTGGTGGTCACTAACAACTCCTTCTCGCTTACAGAATTTGTGGACTTCATGCTTGGAATTCTTTATCCAAAACGGTAACTTCGATTCCGTTAGCAACTGTTAATGTGGTACGAACTCACTCGTACCATGCTACTATCAACACAGGCTATGCTGATGTTTTGGACCCACGGTACACTTGAATGGTTGTGTAGGCGAATCGTTGGGCCGCCCACATAGTGCCTTCATGCCTCACATCTAATTGCACACTTCATGCGTTTCTTTCCCAGATATTTCGGATGAGTATTGGTTGAACATAAATGTTTTGAAGTCTGTGAAACGATTGATCACTTCTGTCTTTGTTATTCACATAAGTTATCTTCCTACACTGAATTGTTTTCCACTTTTTTATCAGGATGATGCCAGGTGGCTCTCTGTAGCCAGAATCAATACAGCAACTTCATATGGAGGCAGTGCGTCAGCTCCACCCTCGTTCTCCTCTTCATCGGCTTCTCCCTCATCTTGTTCTACTAATTCCTGCGGGCAACGTCCTATCTCGAAGCGATCATGTTTTCGTTGGGATAAGCGTTCACAGTGGACGCGTTCACTGCAGCGTCTTCCGTCTGTGGATACAGAGACTGAGGGATTCCCAGGCGGCAACGCGCTGCGGCCGCGTAGACGTCCCCGCAAGTGGGGTTCAGGTCCCATGAGATCCAAAAGGAAACGTCTCATACGAGGTATTTGTTCATGTGATATCAGCTTTCGTGCAAATGCATGAGTTCGGGGGCTCTGATTTACTCTACGTTATGTTCCGTTGGCCACGTTCGGATATTCCGCCAAGATAATGGGTTAGGTGACATTGAATCATATGTACAATGGCCTGAAGACAGAGATGCGCATGTTCCAACCTGGATATGAGTGCGTAGTAAACTCGGCTGACACTTCAATCTCAGTGCAGATTCGTTCAAAGGTGGCATGCTACTGTATGGGTGTGCTTACGTAACACTGATCACGTTTTGAGTGCACCTCTCCGGTCGTCCGTCTTTATGTGTTTTGTGCCTCCGTTTTCGTTGTTTTCAAGCCATGTGATTTATCTGCTTTGTTCATGCACCCGCATGCTCTGATTCCACAGTGGTACTCTTCCCCATTGCCCCTCTCCGACGTGACAGAGGACGAATCTTTCCATACCACTTCCGTCACTAATGTTACACGAACAAACACGCCCGTTGGGAGGAGCAATAAATCAAATGAAAATCCGGTCACACTCATCTTTCCCCAAGCCATCTCCAAAGTCCTCTCACCTTCTCCAATTCAGTCCGACGCGGTACAATCTACATGGACGGAACTGAACATTGTTGTTCGGGATAGCGAACCATCTGATTCAAGACTTGATTGGGAGAATAAACCAGGCTATGTAAGTAACCAACGAACGCTATTTATCCGGTTTTCTAGCATGCATTATCTTTTCACCAGAACAACTTCTTATCAAGTGTATTTATGCATCCGTTATTATGAATGTGTTTTACTCAATACAGTCAAGCCTGTTTAAGACGACCATTCATGGGCCGGACAAAAAGTGTTCTCCTTAGACAGGTGGGCTTCAAACGTTCTCTCGAATTACTCAAGGTGTGATTTAGCTCGATCGACAACTTTACTTATCTAGCTGGATTAGCAAAAGCTACTGTTCCGAGTAATCTTATTATCCCTTCGTAAAATGTGTTTATTCTCAGCAGTTTGTTTTGATTGCTACACACCCCCATACTTTTCAATCTTCGAGCTTTTGCTTGTTTCTTCATGATTGCGCCATTCGAGCTGGATTGGATATCATTCAGTGCGGTACACACCTGACCAGGTAGAATTTGGTGACTTAGGTGCCCACACGTTCTTCAACTGCACTTTGTTTGAGTTGACCAGTAAGGTACTGGTTTGGAAAGGTGTATGTGGTTTAAAAGTTACGATTGTCGGTTGCTATTCGGTTGTGTTCATCGCTCAAATGGAGTTTGTTAAGTGTTCATTATGATTATGATTATGGCCCACTGCATATATATAACCGGCGCGCAATCCAACCTGACAGCGATGTATCCATTTCGCGAACGTCCATCCGGGCCTGCTGCTTGCGTCGACTGATATCGACAGGCAGAAGCGAGCGTTTGTGGGAATGGTCACTGAACCATTTGAAACACGTGTGCTTCGTTTGAGACCACCCCATATCGTTTACTTTGGGACGTGATACATCGGATAACCATTCACCTTACGGTCATCAAGTGAACCGATGGATAACGGCTGCTGCACATTGTCTCGCTTCAGAAACCGCGTTACGGCCATGTTATTGGGTACCCTTTAAAGAGACGGATTGGTTACAATACGTGTACTTAAGGCAACTTTGCATTCCATGGAATGAAATACCAATTTTCCGTCAATACCATTTTGTACCGGGCACATGTTGGTCTTACAAAAGCATGGTGTCCATCCGTGTACCAATGGTTTGTTGAAGCTAGTCACGATTCCTTTCTCGTGTGCTATTACGGTGCTTTCTAGTATTCACAGCGTTTGATATTTTACTCACGAACATTCAGGATATACTGCTCTGCTTCATCGTTTGCCGTTTGAATGGCATACCATCCCCTGCTTTCCTCCTTTCCTACCGTATTACAGGCAATAGCTTTAGTGCATTCACTCTGAAATCTGTTACGTTTCAGTAAATTGCTAGCTATCACTTTGCGTTCTTTTTACCTGAACATGAAGAGTTGCGGTGAAATTCACTTGCTAGTGCTTACGTTGACTCTAATGGTATACTTCTCAGCATCATGAGCAACTGTCATCATACGAAGACAAAATGGAGCACTTGAAACGAACAAACTTGAGACCTGTTGCGGCCTAATTCATGAATAGTTCTCCGTAAAATACTATTACTCTGACGGTGGCCGTGTATTACTTTTCGAAAGTTTTCCACAGAACACGTTTTAAGCTTAATCTAGCACTGTAAAACGACATAACGTTCATTTTGGCCAGTTGATCAAGCAAGCTGTCCTCCTTACTATGATTTACATTCGCGTGACGAATGTAGGATACTTTTCAAATACACCAAAATTGATCGAATAGCATATTTACTCTTTTTCGGACAATAGCAATTGGCAGATATATAACTATTTTCTTCCGGAGCAGGATACACTGTCTAGCAGAAAGCTTCAAATAGGCGGCACTGTTATTTCTCAGTACTCTTCCAAGCTCTGGCAACGTTTCTTTTATTTGTGTAGCCTGGACACCTGAGCATTTCCGCAATCCATTCTCCGTCAGCTATCTCGGATATTGTGACAACTCATTCCGCTCCCTGCATGTCTTTCACCGACTCTTCATCAACTACCAGTCAGTTGTTGATGGACCGATCGATGGATTTTCTGAGTCCCTCCGGTCACGGCGATTCCAGTCACTTCTCTGATGAGCCAGCCTGGTCCAATACCACCCGTCCTCCCACACCGGATATTCGTCGCAGTGACCTGGACGTGACCGATTTGTCTGATGGGACACGAGTGTTAATCATCGAAGATACGCACTTGCGTGCCGGAACACTCTACTTGTGCCGTCCCTTGAGTGAGTTATATTGTCGGCTTCTTTTCGGTTGGCTGTTGCTTATATGGCTGTACCCTTTCGAAGGAGTTCACAAATTCCACTGTGTTTCTTCCTGTTGTCATGTGCATCAACAGTACCGTCGCGGTTTAGCTACAAATCAAAGCTGTAGCACCAGCTCCATCGACTATTTGTCAGTGATCGAAGTGGCCACAGTTCAGTAGTTAGCCGTCTTAGTTTAGCTTTTCCACTGCAATCCAACCACGCAGTAGTAGCCGGACTAGTCAGGTAGCACTTTGTGATAAGCGATCAGCAAATTACTGCAATGCGGAGAACTTCATCTTGACCGAGCGGATAACGAAAGGTGCACAGACGAATAATCCTCCTATGTAAGCTACGATAATACTATATGTCACTGGGAACTATGTGCTCCAAACAAGCATGATGTCACTTGAGCGAGTGTGGGAGTCAAAATGAACCTTCAAAACACGGCCCATATTTTCGGTCGCTACACGCAACTCCGATTGGACAAGAGCAAATATCCTAACCAAATGGGCAATTCCTCTTGAAATGTAACTTCTCGAACTGATCAATGACCTGCGTACTGACATCCACCCAATGCGCTAACCACTCAAACAGTGATTGGACTTCATCCTTTGCACATTATCTGTACGTTTACACAAATGTTTTCTGCAAACCAGAGAACTACTACACCAAAAGTTCATTAGGATCGATCCGACCTCGCAGCGATATCCTCGTACCCAGTGGTACTCATTAGCTCACCTCACGCCGAAATTAAAACCGAATAGCTGCCTATCGCCCATATTCAATTCGCATCCAGTGTATCAGTGAGCAGCCAGTCAGACTGAAGTATGGATGCCAATTATTGAACTGTGCGCAGAAAGCAGCTTCTACAGTGAACTCCGCCTACTAATGATGGTTCCTGAATTGATGTTGAAACTTCGAAACTAACTCAGCTGGCTCAGTGAGCACCCATTCGCCACACCAGTTAACACAGACAACAGACTGTCAGCCGAACAGACATCTATCAACGCCGCGTTCAATAGCCTGGGTCTATATAGCTTTGGCTGTATTACCTAAACAAACGCATCGTGGCTGCGATGATGGTATCATCCAACACCGAAAGGTCCCCATTTCGATCATAATGAAATTTGACTGACTATGCTCTATTTCACAATTAATCACAGTCTTCTTGTTGGTTGTTGTGACTAGTCCGATCCTGATTGTATCAGCTGTGAGATTGGTGTGTTTGTCTGTTTCAGCGAAACGTAGCATATGACTGTCAGCATCTGTTCAGTCAACCATGACTTAGCATCAATTTGGGGCTTGCGTGATTTACACGTATCACCTACATTTCCTGACCTTGGGTGTTAGTTCACCAAGTGGTCTTCCAAATCCCATCTTCTGATCGGAGTACCTGATTAGTCGTTAAAATAGCCAGACTGCTGAATGCACCGGGGTAGCGAAGACGGCATTCAAACGTTCTCGTAATTTGAACTCGCGTCCCCAAGCTGTGGTTTCCTATCTGTCTCCCCCCTCATTCTACTGCGGATGCTTTCCATGGTTTGGTATAGTGATCGCGAGTCACTGGAACATAAACACATAAGGTCGTCATCGGCGCAGTTAGTCGTCTTTAATTGATCTGATTTGGAGCCGGTCCGCACTACGTCAGCATGCACATAATCAATACGAGCTTGCGGAAACATGCAGGCCAGAGGTACACATGGTGGTGGCCGGGTTGTAAATCCTTCCACACCGGAGAAAATTGCTCTTTGAAGCTAGCACCGTCATGAAACTTGAGCATGCCGTCTGCCCCAGTAGCGATCAACCGTCTCCTGAATCCAGGTGGTGGTTTTCCGCAGGTAGGTACCTTGTCAACATTAGCACAAAGCGTAACCAGCATCGGGATTTCCACCAGTGAAAATCATAAGACATGCGTCAGCACAGGCTAAGGGTTGGCGGCATCCGGTTTCGGATTTGCCCGTCACTGTGACCAGCCACAGGACGCCTGCGCCTACAGAGGGACCATGGATGGCTTGCGCTGCACCACCCACAGCTCCAACCACACACCACTTATCCAGTGTAAACCCGAAGGAACAAGACCGGGAGGCAGGTGGATGGGAGGCACGTTTCATCAACGGAGCCGGCCCACACTCCTTCACAGGCAAACAAAAGCACACTGTATTTGGGGAATCAGGCACACACAATGCGATGGCTGAACCGTAGTCCGCTCCACACTAAGTGCATGGAACCACTGTTTGATCCTAACACAGCCACAAGTACCGTGCACCCCGTCCCCTCCAGCAACGACCAGCTGTCTCCTAGAGCCAGTATGGACGAGGTAGTGGGTAGTAGACAATTAGGCGCCTTGTCACTATATGCACATCAAGCGCAGCCACACCGGGGATATCAAGCAACATGCAATCACTTGAAACGACCATATCAAATAAAATAAATCGAATGATGCATACAGATACAGTGACATAACTCTTCACAAAATGAGCGTATGAAATAAATTGGTTGCAAAATATTCACGGTAGTTGAAATACGTCAGAAAATGTATCTTAGGCAAATACCACAACCGCGAAAATGTTATCTAAGTTAACTACAATCAGCTTAAGCTACGTGTGCAAGTTTAGAGAAGATAGTTCAGGTAGACAACAATATGTGAAACAAAAGCATTAGGAGATTATATCAAACCCATCACCAGAAATAAAGAGACTCTGCATGCAGGCGTGCGGTTAGTAAATCGAATGCACCGTACTTACAAGCGGTGCACCAGCTCTGCCAACGTTCTCTGCAGGACCCGTCGTTACTTCGGTGGTGGCCCTGAGTGTCCTCGTTCATGGCCATTAGGCCTGCCTGATTCAGGCACTCTCGACCGCATGTGCTACAGCACCATGCGCTCGAGGTTGATGCAGTACAACCCATCGGCGCTTGCCGCTTCCGCACTTGCCGCTTCTTCTCTGCATGCATGAGGTCTTTCTCTCGCACTTCGGCAACTGCCTTATTGATCGCGTCATGCACGCCGATCAAGGATCTTCGACTCCCATGACCTGCAATCAAGATTAGAGCGTGAAAGACTCACTTTAATCATGTCATCGTAAGGCAGCTTCGTCTTTCCCACAAACCGTTCCGCAACACAGCTGACCATAAAAATAGTTGTTTCGGTATCAGCGTCGAATTCATACGCCACGCATGACCGAGCCACCTCAGGTGTCTCAGCAAAAGTATGCAGTCCACTGCATACATTCCACTTTGTCGCAACACTTCCATGTCAGCAACTCGGTCGCACCAATGGATGCGTAGAATCTGTCGCAAACACTGTTGATGGAACCGCTGGATATATCGCACATCCCGCCGGTACATCGTCCATGTTTCACTGCCGTATAGAAGAACGGACAGCACCATGGATTTGTACACCATCAGCTTCGTGCAACCTGTAAGCTGATGGTTGTTCCACACTCGGTACTCTAGCTTCCCGAGTGCCGCCGCTGCCTTCGACACGCGGATACGCAGCTCACTGTATAGCTGCTGATCAGTCGCCATCACAATCCCAAGGTAACAGAAACGGGAGGTGGTGTCTAATACTTCATCACCAATGCTGATTTGCGACAATATTGAAGAGTACACCTCCGGTGAAGGCTGAAAGAGACAGACAGTTTGGCTTGTGTTTCTGGTGAGCCCGAATTTGGTAGCTGTCGAAGTCAGAGCACTAGTCATGTGCTGCAACTCATCCGCGCTGTGTGCAAACAACGCACAGTCGTCAGCAAAACAGCAACATACGGATAGTTGTCTCACAGACTTAGGTTCCCACACCGAAAGGATGCATGTTCAGCAACCCACCATCAGTGCGGTGCTTCACATGAACACCGTAAGCACAAACCGCATCAAAAGCACAAGACATCATTGCATGAAGGTATATATTAAACAGTGCGGAGCTAAGAAACACCCTTGCTTTACACCAGAGACAACTGCAAAGTCATCCGAGGTCTTTCCACCCAGCTGCACCCTCGCCCGCATGCCACTGTGCAGACATTCAAGTAAACTTACAAACTTACGCGGGCAACCAAACTTACCCATCACCAGCCACAATGCCTCGCGGTTCACCGTATCAAATGGCTTGGTGAAATCAACAAACAGGGAGTACAATGGCTGGTGTCATTCTCTGCACTTCTCTTGCAACTGATGAGCCGCAAACACCATATCTATAGTGCTGCGACCCGAACGGAATCCACACTGCTCCTCCGCCACGTTAGGTTCCACAACCTGACTGACGAGGCGGTTGAGAAGGATTCGTGCAGTCACCTTGCCCACACAATTAAGCAGATTGTTGTCACGATAATTTGTGCAACCTTGCCTACTCACTTTGCCATTGTACAATGGTCAGCTCAGCAGCCAACTCCTCCTTAATCCAATCGGGTTGCACCAAATGGTGCAGCGCAGTCACCAAGCGGGTCCACCTTGTTTCAATACTTCGGGCGGAATCCTGTCAGCACCGGCGCACTTGCGGTTTCTCAGTTGAGCAAGTGCTCTTTGCGTCTCATCCAGTTTCGTCGTGTTCGCCAGACTCGCCTTCACATCGTGCTGCTTGAGACCGTTCAATGTAGGCCAGTCGACCCCTGAATGGTTGTTCAAGAGACAATCCAAGTGTTTTTGCCAGGTCTGCACTAGGTCTGCAGTCTGTGTGCAGGTATCGCCTGAGCTATCAGTGTTTAGCGTCCTCAGCGGCTCCAATCTCGGTCCATACACCGCTTTCAAAGTGTCAAAGAATACCTTGTTTTGGCGGCCTCCGCCGTAGCATTCCATCTGCTTCACCTTCTCCGTCCACCAAGCATTTTTAATGCGACGGAGCTCTCGGGTCAATCGTCATTGCATTTTGCGAAACTGACTCTCCTTTCCCAAGTCACTGGGGTCTGCCACATGTGCAGCGAATGCTGCATTCTTCGCCGACACCAATGCGCCAATCGTCGCACTGTTCTCATCAAACCAATCAGGCCGCT